CCCCCCCCCCCCCCCCCCCCCCCTCCCGAAAGACTATAGAGCCCTTGAACAAAGTACACCCTTTGTTCAACTCTTGAGTCACTTTTGACTACACCTTCAAGGCTCACAACTCCTTTATTTGAAGTGTGAGGATTCCATTGACATGACTAAATTAAGGACATGATTCTGATACCATATAAGGAACCACGATCCTCTACAATGGTATTATACTGTCCCCTTTGAGCATGAGCTCTCGTGACTTTGTTTTTTTTTTTTTTTACCCAAAAAGTCACATGTCAATAGAGATAGTATTTCTTACTAATAAACTATGATCTTCCCCTTCATTAGCCAACTGGGTCTCCCTCCCAATAATCTTCACCCCTATATACTTTCAAATTTGGTATAAAAAACTAAAATAACCCTTTTCATAACATTCATAAACCGAATGGGAACAGACAAAGTGAATAAAACATTTAAAACGCAAAGAATAAGAAAAAACCAATGTAAAGCAGAAAATGAAATGGTAAGACTAAAGGGTGGATATTATTACTTGACATGCATTTAGGAATATTCACCAAATGAGAGGCAGAATATTATGAGTAAACACAATAAAATAAATACCCTATCATCAACTATTACCCCTTTCCTTTTTTTTTCTTCTCTTTTTCCTGTTTTATAATCACTAGGAACTAAAAAGAGTTAGCATACCATATGGGATAAGCAGCTGAAACCAAGCTCTGACTTCGAAGCAAAGTGAGCTGAATTCCTGTCATGGACCCAAACGGTAATGGGCATCGCCCATGTAACGCCCATCGAAGTAAAAAGCAGCAGCAGTGTTGGGATGGTAAAACCCCTCCATACCCATCAACTGTACATCCTCAGACGGCTTCCAATGCCTTTTCCTCTGGTTTATGAACCAATTATTTATCTGTTTCTGATCCAACCCAGTTGATTCCGCTAGCGCCAACTTCTCTGCCTCCTGCTGCCCCCCACACGCACAAATTAACAGTGTTTTTCGGGGTTTGGTTCTTTGAGGCATTTTCACAAACAGGTTGTGTGCAAGAACAAAAAGAAGCAGAGTGACTTACCGATGGGTATGGCCATTTGCTGTGCACTTCCCACCATCTGAGCAGCTCCTGCCTTGCGTCTTTTGGGAGCTTTCCTTTCTTCTTCTTCTTTGAAAGCTCTTGCTTTAGAGTGCTCAGATACCCACTGTACTTCTTTAGTAAGTGATTCTTTAGCTCTCGCTCGTCTGCTCGTGGGTCAATCTGTTCCGTTGCATCTCTTTCGGCTTCCCCGCCCCCCTTCTCTTGCTCCTCCTCCGATGATCCCATTCCGTCGCGATTTTCTTCGGTCGCTGCATCTTTAAAATAATAGTCAAATTTAATGATTAAAATAGCTTTCTTTAAATATTTATAAAGAAATTACATCTGTAAAACAAAATAAAACATATTTAATTTGATGTGAAGCCACTAATTATTTTGTCTCATAACATTTAATCCCCAATTAAGACTTAATTAAGCACTAAATCCATTAATTAAACCAACATTTTTATTTAGAAATATAGGGGAAAAAACAAACAAGAAGGGGGAAAAAGGACAGAAGGTTGAAATCACTCTGAAATTAGGGTTTTTTATTTTTAATCTTTTCTTCTGACAAGGGCTGTTAAGTCCTTTCAATAGTAGTAAGGGTTAAAAAAAAAAATTCCCATTTTGAGATATTATATTTTTTAGGGTTTTATTTTTGAACTCTCCTCAACGTTTTAAAAAATCGTCCGTTGGGATAGTTTCCACATTCTTATAAAAAAATGTTTAGTTTTCATATGCAACAACCGATGTGGCATATTACAGTCCACACTCTTAGAGGTCAACGTCCCACCAGCACTTGTTACCTCTCCAACCAACTAAGAATCTCACAAACCACACTCTTAAGGTCCAAAGTCCTCGCTAGCACTCGTTACTCTCTCCAACCGACTAAATATCTCACAATCCACACTATTAGGGATCAACTCTTTCGCTAGCACTTGTTCAGCGTCCTCGCTAGCACTCGTTACTCTCTCCAACCAACTAAGGATCTCACAATCCACATCTTTAGAGTCAGGGTTCTAGCGGGCACTCGTTAGTCTCTCCAACCAGCTAAGGATCTCACAAAATCAAATGGGTTGCAAAGTAAAATCCCAAAAAACAAAAAATATTTGTGGATGAAGAAGAAGTACCAGAAGCTAAGATTTGGAAGGAGCCATTACAGAGAGTATTGAGCTGAGATTCAATTCTCAGCATGAAATCAGCAGCTTCTTGAATAGGCTTTGTCAGCTCCTCTCTATACTTCACCAACATCCTATAGTAACCTTCCTGTTTCCAATTCAAAGATTCCAAATTAATCTTCAAAGTTCTTGTTTATTTAAGAACAAAGAACAAAGAACAAATAATCCATTCACCATGAACTGATCAAGTTCTGGATCACTATAACCCCCACTCGCCGCCATTGAACACCGCCGCCGCTCCTCAAACTCCTCCCCTACCGACCCAAGTTCCGCCGCCACCTCCGGCGGAGCTCCCACCTGAAAAAAAAAAAAAAAAAAAAAAAAAAAAAAAAAAAAAAAAAAAAAAAAAAAAAAAAAAAAAAAAAAAANAAAAAAAAAAAAAAAAAAAAAAAAAAAAACTGCCTTTAATTAGCTCATCTCAAAAATTTAAAATTCTAAAGTGACCCAAGTCAACCTTTTTGCAATCCAAGAAAGCTTGGAGGAGATTAGAGAATTGAGAGTGGGAGATGATTTTGGCCTTCATGATATCAGTATCCTTACTCCCACCGCTACTTATTTGAAAATCATGAACTTGTTGGTGTTGTTGTTGATGATGATAATGAAAATTAGGGTTGTACTGATCTTCCATTAAAACAACAAAAATAACTGAGTAACAGAAGAGAGAGAAAGGAAAATGGAATTATTACAAAACCCTAAAGTGGGGGAATAATTAAACAGTGAAGTTATGGGAAAAAGCTAGCAGTCAATTTCCAAAGAACAGAGCCAAAAATATAGTTTTTTTATTTTATTTTTGAAATGGGTTTTTGATTTTAAAAGATGGGGTTTTATCAAATTTGAGTTTTGAAGGGAACTGAACTGAAACGAGCTGATTTCGGAAATTTCTAGGTTGTTTTTTTGGCTACTATGGGGTAGCTAGAGAGAGACAAGGACGACGGCGACGGCGACGGCCATGTCTCCGGCGACTTAGGTGCTGGACAAGACGTTTTCTTTTTTTTCCTTTGAATAATAATATAAAAAGTGTGATGATGTTGAAAGATTGGACACCTCTTAATGTATGTGTATGGATGGATGGATGTATCATGGATTTATGTATGTAGATGCATGCATGCCTCCTCTCTATAATTGCTAACCAAAATGGATTTTTTTAAAGATTATTACATTAAAATTCACTCATTAGGGAGAGAAATTTCATGACGTGAAATACGAAAATCAGTGAGAGAACGACAAAAGCATAGATAGCTTTCTAGGTCCCTACTATTGTCGAGGTATGGCGTGAAGCACTCTATCTAAAGAGTACGGTTACTAGTCCAAAATTCAAAAGAATCGATCGGGCCAGCCCCTATTGGTACAAAAATATTTCATACTACCGATTAATAGTCCATACGGTATACTGCAAAACTAATTATTAGATTCTTTCACTAGTAAATCAATCAATCTTTGAGTACAATTTATAATAACGATTGGCCAACCAAAATTATGTTCGTAAAACATAACCTAAAAGATTTGGATCACATTTCGGTAACATGGTTCTTTATGCAAATTGAATGGATATGGTTTGGGTTTTATATGGACTTTATCTCATTATCTTTCTATCTTTTATTCTTTTCATCCCTTGGTATTGCTAAGAAGAAAAGGTACAAATTTGAAGAGTAAACAGTGAAAAGAAAAGGGAAAATTGATGGAAGGGGGAGGATAAGGCTGAATTTCTTAAATGAGGGATGCACCTAATGTTGAAAGGGACTTAAGAAAGACAAAACACTGACGAAGGACACTAAGAAATACTTAGAATAATTTATAGTTACTATCTATTTCAACCATACATACCTTTCTTTTTTTTAGTGATTTAGTCATTTAAATTTCACTGTTGAGATGTCACAGTCTAACAATGGTTGTGCTCCTAAGTAAGTCATCGAAGACGATGACTAGTTTAAGTGGAGGAGAATGTCACAATCTAACTATGAAAAGAGTAGGTTGTGACCTTCACGTTGCGACAAGAGAAGCAGCGACCTTCAAGTGGCGCCCATCCAACTGCGCAAGGGCCTAGATGAGTGCCATGATGCGACTGAAGAGAACAGTGAAATATACAACACACCACACACCACACGAAGTGGATATTGAAGACAAGTTGAGACATAAGCAAGATAGAGACATCGAATAGACAAGAGGGGAAAAAATATGCTTGTTGAAGGCCCGAGTAGGTATTTAACTTATAACAATTCTATGACCTAATAATTTTCTTAGGAAACATGACTGAGGACAAAGTTTGCTAGAAGAATTTGTGTTAGTCTTATAATTCTCACTCTTATAAACAATTTAAGTCAAGCAGGTAATGTGGTTATGTCATAGTAGATACACATAGGAATGTTAGAGGTATGTGTGTTGATTGCAAATTTGGATATGTCTTGCTTTTACATGAAAAGTAAAAGTAGCACATGATTTGAGTATTTTAAGAAGTACTCCGTAAATGATCTCATTTCTTGTGTCGGGAAATGCAATCACATGCAATCATGTTTAGGACATACCATTTCATGGTCTTCGTTTCAACTTCTAGTTCGAGAAGAATTGTACGTATAGTATTTCTCTACACACGACCCACACATAAACCCTCAAGTGAACTTGTATACGTACTCCCTAGACCTAGCCTTTGACTAGCATACACCACATTGTCAGTATACTACAAAGGAAAGGGAGTACACATATATCATTGTGTACATAATACGGTATAATCACATCATAGTGTATGCGTTCCTACTAATCATGCGTTTATTCTTTAATTACGAACGAGAATAAGCACATTAAAGATCATTCATATAATCATATCATAGTGTACGCCTTCCTACTAACCATGCATTTATTCTTTGAAGACCATTCATTATTCACTCTCTATTGTTTTGTCTAATCAGATAACTTTGGAATCCTTTCCCCTTTATTCACCTTTTTTTTTTTCTTCTTTTTTTCCTTTTCAAATATCAAATAATTTCAAATGATGTGACAACAAGAATAATATATTTAATTGTAGCCTTAGAATCCTTTCCCGGGGAGGTGTAGTATGTTTTAAAATGGTACGTGAGATGAGTTCAGAATGTTGAGACAATGATGAATTATACATATAGATATTTCAGGGTAGAGAATGTTAGATGAACACGACTCTTCACAATAGTACGATATTGTCCATTTTGAGCATAAGCTTCTATGGCTTTGCTTTGGGCTTCTGATAGTATTCCTTGATTATAAACCCATGATCATTTCCTAAATTAGCCGATGTGAGACTTTCATCATCCACCCATAAAGCATAAAGAATTTGCCTGCATATAATTTTTTTCAATTTGTTATTATTTTTAAAAAATAGTTTTCATTTTTCAATATAATTTTTATTAGAAAAAATGGTTAAACCAAATAAAAATTAATAATAATTACAATTAGAGTCTCAAAATTAACTATTTTATTTATTTAACATAGCCAAAAATATATATTAAAAATATATTTATATTAAGCGGGACATAATGGCGAATTGGACAGGAACGGAGAATATAATCTTATACTCCAACCCTATTTATTTAATGGATAAACAATGTTTCCGCTCATTTTCCACACGGTAAAGTCTCATAAATAAATTGAACTTTCTAACGATGGAGATGTTCGTTTAAGGATGAGACAGCTTTATATAGATGGAGCAAGCATAAGGTTGGTGTTGGTGTCATGTCAAATAAAAACACCAAATTAGTTTCAAAATATAAATAACTGTTTATTAATTATTATAATATTAACAATATTACGTAACACCTGCGTCATTTAATTCCTCCTCCCATTTTCCATTTATTAATTAATATTTAACTTGATTTCAAAAATATTGTCGTTTATAATATTACATATTATATTTTATAATTACACTTTTAACTTTTTAAAAAAATTATTAAATTTATTTATTATGTTTATCTTTATCTTTATAAAATAAAAATGTTTCCAAATTCACACCAAATTTAAATTTTGAAAACAAAAAGGCTAAGATGGGATGACTGTATTTGGTGTTTTGCATCAAAAATATTATCAAATTTTCATATCAATAAAGTATTTTAAATAATTTTAAACAATTTTACTACATTATTTTGGTTTTAGATAATTAATAAATAATTAATTGTGGTTAACTATTTTACATTATCAAAATAATTTTAACTAATTAAAATGTAAATATTTTATATGATAGATTAAATTATATTAAATGAGATATATTGATAAATCTTATTCATCAATAATTAGAATAAAATTATATAAGATTTTAACCATAAATAATTAATTATATGTATTATAGCTCAAAATTCAAATATGATGTATAGTGGAATAAATGATAATAGGATAATAATAGTAAATTGTAAAATAATGAGAAAGAAAAAAATAAAGTAAACAAAATCAATAGAAAAAACTAGAAAAAAAAAATCCATGAATTTGAATTGAAGGGTTCGAAAAAAACGTTCCAAATCTCTAAAAAATCAAAATGATCCTTCATCTTAATTTAAAAACTTGAACCAAACGTCTTATATGAAGGCCCTACCAGAAAATGAACTCATCGGAGCTCCACCTACCTTAAACCCTCCACCGGTGTCGGAAAAGTTTATTAAAATGAGATTAAGAGTGGAAAGAACACTCTGTCCATCTAGTTGATGAGAATATTTGCAGAAACCATCTCACCAAATGTAATTTATTTATAATCAAATAAATTAGAAGAAAGAATAATATATGGAAAAATAAATCCAAAAAAAAAAAAAAATAAATAAATATTTAGATATTTATTTTTAAAAATATATATATATATAAACTATAATTTAGTACTAAATATTTAACCGATGAGATGTTTGACGTTGATGTTGTGATGTGATGGGGCCATAAAATTTTGGACTTCAATTCTTGGTTGGGCCGTTGGGCTGCTGAACTGAGCTGGAAAATTGCATAAGTCACCCTGCCATCCTAACCCAATCTATGACCTGTTACATGTTATAGAACGCGTTTTATAGGTATAGGTTTTCATACCTTTACAAGAAATGATTCGTTCCTCTCACCAATCGATGTAGGATCTCAGAATCCACTCCTTTAGAAGTCTAATGTTCTCGCTACCACACCTCCCAGTGTCTAGCTCTAATATCATTTGTAACCACTCAGCCCTATTGCTAGCATATATGGTTCGTTTTAGCCTATTACGTATCACATGAGTCTCATAAAAAGGTTTCTCAAATAAATGTCACATATGAGTTTGGTGGTAACATTATCTATTTTATTTTCTTTTTTCTTTTTTTCTTTTATTTTTGGAGCATTATCAATGCAGAGGATAAATATGGAATGTCAGGTAAAAATATCCAACAACTATTATGTCATTCCTTTCGTCTTTACTCATCTTTGCATCCAAAAATAAAATAAAAATATATAATTTAATTTAAAAATGAGTTCGAATAAAATTTGTATGAACTTATCTCATCCAATTTAACAACCATACCATTAACATAGATCTATCCAATAAACCCGAAATTTAATGCTTTTTTGAATTAAAGCTAATTTTAAAATATTTGCGAGCTTATCCACTAAATAAAAGGAAACATTAATTAGTGGAATATTATTTTCAATAAAATTAATTTATATATTTAAAATTTAGAAGTTTTATCGTTAAAACTTTAAAATAATAATAATTTAGACTCAACTTTAAATAATTAATAAAAATAACT